TCTCTATTTAATAATACAAGAGTTTAATGCGAAATTTCTCTTTCGCAAAAAATATTAATAATGAGTGATTCTTGACTTTTTTATTCGTCAGAAATATTGAAAATTCACAATTTATACATATGTATATTTATAGACTTGAATATGCAAATATAGTAATCGCAAGTTTTAATAAAAGAAAAGATGAAGGTCAGCTTTAGAAGGAAGAAATTTTGCTCTCTTTTTCTTATTCTCTGTAATCTTATCTGTTTATTAACTTCTATTTAATAACTTACAAGGAGAGGCTACACTCTACTCTTCACCGATCTTGATCAACTTACAACTTGTTGTAGAGGAGCCTATTAAATGAACTGTAAAGCCGTTTCCGCTAATGAGAACTTTTAGAAACCGAATAATGAGCATTTTAAATTATATCTGGAGATCAAAAATCTGGAAACAATCTAACACTATTAAGTGGCCAAGATCAAGTCAAGGTTGATGATTAAATCAATAAAGATAGTAACTACATCTCATTAAATCTACCATTTTTGTATAAGACATTTTTCTCAAAAATGTATTTTCCGAAATATTGGACTATTTTTAGATTTTTTGATATATTTTTGAACGTTTATTACTCGACTTCTAAAGTTCATTAGCGGAAACGGCTTTTTGGCATGGCTCCTCTAACAAGTTTGCTGCAAGTTTAATCAAAATCGGTGAAGAACAGAGCGTAGCCTCTTCTTATTAGTAAGAAATTCCGGTTTATCTTTTGAGTAGTATATGTATAGTAAATCTCTCAACGAGAGTGCAGTGTATTGGCGCGTTGCGAAATACAGACGGTGCTCGTAGCAATCGTCTCTTCTAATTGTAAGTATAGATCTCCTCTTTCATAATACAGGTGGTAATAGCAACGGAGGTGTGAACGAGGCGTGGAGGTGTGTCGGCGAGGAGATGGAGGCTGCAGCGGAAGCACATCGGCTATGGGGCATCGCGTTAAGCGAACAACTTGCCAAACCGCTCAGAGTAAGTCCGAGTCTAGGGAGATGATTACGCTGATCAGAAGACCGCGTGAAAAAGATTGGATGCGCAATCATGTACTTACGCAACGTCACGATCGGACGTCACGGTTGCAAAACGGCAAAATTAGAATCGTTCAAGGAAAATTTACCTTGACAATTTTTCAGACAACACAAAGTGTCTAAAATTCAGACACAAGACATCTTTGGCATCAACACAAAATTGAGACATAAAACTTCAAGACGTTTAAAAAACGTTTTAAAGTTTTATGTCTCAATTTTAGACTTGTTGTTTATATTTATCTTACGAATTATTTCGCTGGCGAAAAGTACATCGAATCGAATCACAAATATTAAAATGAGACAAAAATTTGAGACGTGACATTACTACATTACATATGCATATGCGCAGACAAATACATAAAGTTGATTTTCTCTTTATGGAAACTCGCAACCGAAAAGATTCAATCTTGTAATAGCATTGAACAAACTGAATCGAGAAACGAAAGGAATGAAAGGATGATATATGTATATATAACACACAGGTGGGTGTAGCGGAGACGCAGGGCCGATCGAGAAAGAGCATCGAAAATTCGGTGGACAAAGCATCCAAGTCGCTGCAAGAATGGCGTGGAGTAGCGGCAAAGAGTAAAAAGCAGAGCTTTGCGTGCGCGCGCGAGAACGAGAGGTTGCAGGATCTAGCACGGTTGCAGACCATCAGTCAAAGTCAGCAGAGCAACAACAGATCGTCGACGTCGAGTCATCACGTTACAGAGAAGGAAGCGAGCAAACTGGAGACTAGACGAAGGAAAGCTGAGGATTCCTCGCGACGAGCGGATACCGAATTCTACACGGTTAGCGTGAGAGCCGAGAGGGCCAGACTCGAGTACGAGAGTACGATGAAGAAAGGCGCGAAGCAAATGGAATTGCTCGAGGAGGAACGACTGAGCGCCCTAAAAGATCTCGCCAATGTGTACTTGACGCACTTGCAGGCGCTCGCGCCGCGATTGCAGCAGGTAATATACGAACATTACAATTGATCAAAATAATCGCGCAATCACGCATCATGCAACTATTTTCTTACTTATCATAAAGATAATTTAAATTTCTCAAATATACTTTCTTAGAGCGCCGATCGCTTACTAACGCCCGTGCGCAGTTGCAACGTGTCGCAGGACTTAGAGATCCTAAAAAATCTCGTACGCCGAATGGATAATCACGATGTGACGAACGCGGAACAATTATTGCCGGATTTCTATGCCGAACACGTGACGTTAGCGATGAACCGCGAACGGCGAAAACAGGCATTAGTGAGGGTGCTGCATCTGATAAGGCAAGATCTCGAGCGAGAAAGACGAGGTAGAGAAGGCCTGGAAACATTACATCGAGCTTTCGTTAAGACTCCGGCATTTGCAGCGGACGAAAGCACGCAAAACGTAACGGATAAACTAAATCACGTACGTATGTCGAGCATTTATTGCTAATCTGACATAAGGCCTGTTCTTTTTGGCTCTTTCCTATTAGAAGAAAAAAGGAAAAAAGATAAACTGGTGCAAAAGTTCAGCCAAAAAGAACAAGTTTATAGTCAGGACTATTATTTTGTACTAATAATAAATACGGGCGCGCGATATAAAAAATAAATACGTTTCGGCAGATGCGTTCAATGTTGTTGTACTTGGAAGCAGCTAGGTACAAAGTCAGCGGTACGCTCGCTGAAGTGGAGGGTAGCAAACGAATCAAACATCCTTTATCGGACCATATTTTAGTTTCGAGAGACAAACAGGGTTTGCAGCAAAGTGTTCTCAAGGTATAGTATTCATATCAAGGCTAACTTTTCAAACTGTGAGGGGCAGTTGAATTAATTCACGAATGAAATAGAGCACAAAATTCCTTGAGGAACGATAGAATCGGCTAATAGGATACCACAGAATAAGTTTAGAAGTGGAAACAATCTCGTTATTACATTCAGAATTGCGTACTATGAGAGATTCCAATGTAATCCTGAACTTTAATATATTGGATTAGGGAAAAAGTTTTTTTACAAGTTGATAAAAAAAAATATTCTATTTTTTTTAAATTGACAATTACACTACTTGATAGAACAACGTTTCAGCTTTAAGAATCTGTATTTTTAATTGCGATACGAGTTTTAATGGAGTTATGAGCAATAAAATCAGAATGTTCCTTTTTACTTAATTCGCGAGTAACTCAGGAATAAAAAATCATAGAAACATTAAAAAAAAATGATTTTGTAGGAGAAGCTTCACGAAGATAGTCGAAAATTTGCTCAAATTTTTTTTTAGGCACATTACAGACCTACAAAGTGAAAAGAAAATTTTTCATTTTTTTTTGCTTGTAGTTTTCTATATATAAAAATTACAAAACTGACATAAATTCAAAAAATATAATAATCATTCGAAAGTAAAGATTTTAAGCTTTAAAGACCCTTTTTTAAATTTTGATCATTTTTAACGAAGATATTGATATGGGGAAAGGTCTTTTTAAGTAAAGAGACTTTTTCTCTGATCCTATATATAAAATCGAAATCATATGTTATATAAAACAAATAAGATCTTGTATTCTCTGATCTCCTTGTAGATTCCTTCTTGGGCAAAGAATGAATCTTTCGAAGTCCAGGACAGTGACGACGAGCTCGAGTTACATTTGACCAAGGATCAGGACGGTGAAACTCGCGATTGGGCTGATCGCACTGCCGGTGACGGCAATTCAGAGAATCCACCGGACGAAGATGATTTTAGTGACTTCGACGAATTTAGCAGTCACTCAGAAGATAACAACAATCAAATTGATAGTACGGAAGTACCATCGGCTAAAATTGAACATGCAGAGCAATGCCGAGCGATTTACCAATATTCCGCGAATCTAAATGACGAGCTCAGTCTTAGTCCGGGAGACCTGATAACTGTTCATCAAAAACAACCAGATGGCTGGTGGATAGGCGAGTGTAGAGGCCGTACCGGTATATTCCCTGCCACTTATGTCCAAGTCATTCATTAGCATAACGAATGATTTCACATTATATTGATATGCATAGGGAGATATATACATACTAACATTTCGAAGAAAACGTGATGAAACGTCGACCACGTGTTATGATAATAGTATCCTCTTACAGGAGTTTCCATCTGGCTTCGTTAAATCAGATAAGAGTATTATAATGTGCCAATAATGTTACATGCAATGATTACTTTATATGCACAAATCGAGGATATTCGATCACAAGTTCGCATAAAGATTACTTGAGAATACCAAATAGTAGTTACCACCACATTCAATACATCTAGTGTCGAGGTCTGGCGGAAATATTTTAATCATGTTACTTTTTTTTTTTTGCGCTACGTATACATTTATTGTTCTCTGTTACTACTATACATATAATTAATGCTTGTTTATATGTATCGTTAAAACATACTGTGAAAAAGATCGGTCTGAGTTACGACTTTGAATAGTTTTATTAATTCTGACAATGCATTTTAACTCATTATGCATATTATATCTATAATTCTTATAAAAATAAGCAATATAAGTTTAATTACATGATCTATCTTACTGAAAAGTTACTTTCCTAGCATGAAATTATATTGATACAAATCTTTATAACTGGTGTATTTCTTTAATTTGCCGTTATAAAAATTATGATTACTTATCGTATTTATTTACATCTTTTCTTTTGTCACTATATTTCAGCTTGGGAATATTATTTTTCAAGTATGCTGTATATGTATATGTACATATATCTCACTTTTAAAGCCAAGATTGTGATTACATGCGCGCGCATGTATAATTTTTTTTTGTAATTTATTGAAAATTTGTGAGTCATGTGAAAGTATGTAGCGAAACAAACTGTTTACGAGAGGAGAATCGTGCGCATGCAAATATAAAAAATTATCTATGTATTATGTATACATATATAATTATATATTTGTATCAAACAATCAATTATTCAGATCATATGTATAAGAAATTATTAAGTATATATGTATATTCTACCAGTACTGATATAATTAATTTATTTACAAAAAAGTTGTTCATTGTAATGCGCAATTTGTTAATCCTCCGTATGGCCAAAGTGATCCTGTTGCAATTGCTTTTTTATCTTTTCTATGACATCGGTGCTATTGGCTGTAACAAAATGATTGCGTAACAATATCATGAAATAATAACGTCATTATTTGATATAATTATTACAACACACCACAAAACGGACTGGTACTGGCTGTAGCCACGAAAAAACTTCCACGCTGATTGTACATTTCTGCTCTAATGCCCATTTCCGAGCAAATGTTTTCATCGCATGGTTCCGCAATTATTTGTAAAAAATGCCTATATGTCAAATTCCATTGGTGTGCCCAAAAACTGCAATTGCGCGCAGTAACAGACGTTAAAGATTCTGTGAGATAGACGTAAGATCGTCCGTGACTACATATCGCTCGTTGTATCGCTAGAAGTGTAACAATCATTTTTTTTTACTTATTGTTAGTTCCAGTTAACTAATTGATAATCATTTTATACTAGCATTAGCTAGTTAATAGTCATTTTATACTAACCAGCTGTAGGAATCGGTAAGTAATCAAAATATGACGTTCGTACACAACCAGGTTGCGTTTTACCGCCGTTTGGGTAGAAATCAACGTGACCTATTTACAGGATGATATTAGGCTTAAGAGATTAAATACACGAGCTTCTTGGGAAATTACAATTCCAAAGTTATACATTGTCGTAAAAAAAGAAAAAAGTGCGCGCGATAAGCTATGGATGGATCAAGTTTCAATGAGCTACCTATAGCTTCGGGTAAGCCAAGTCCCAGATTCGTGAGTAATCTACCATTTGTATGTATCACGTCGACAAATGGTGCATCATTTTTATGTAAATGAACAGATGTATCAGCCTTGCGAAAACATGGTTGCGCCGGATCCAGACCGGTGATTCTCTGCACAGTCCATTTGTTTTGCCTTTTTTTCAACTCTCTTGCGGCAAATCCGCAAATATGAGCACCGAGACTATGTCCTACCAGATGTAAAGGACCCCAATTATTTACGCCCGATTGCGCGATTGTAGCATTCGTTACGTGTTCTATAAATCTTGATGAACAAGTCGACATTAGAAAGCATTAACTATACATATAGGCAATACAATCATTCGAAAACTTCGCGGCATTTAGAACTTCTTTCGAATTCATTGCATTGTCTGACAAGTTACCAATTACCATGTATCACATATACTTTTTGCGTACGCACTTTGATAATTGATATCCGACTATTCTGGTATTAACTGCTGCTTTATAATAATTCCACGTATTACTGCCGGCGCTCCAATCTATTATCACCACATTAACATCACCCTGTATACGATTCCATAAAAAAATGAGTGACTATTTAGAAAATGAGACTGCAATCGATGGACTCACCCATTCGAGTAATGCCTTTTCCATGTCTCTAATCCATGTTTCTTGGCCATGAGACAGAAAACCATGTATTATGACCACCGTCCTACGTTCTATTTTAAAGTCTGTCCATTCTAAACCGAACTGTTCGCCAAGCACTACTTGCACGCGATGAGGTTGTTTCCTAGAGGACAAAAGAAATTGCACATCCAAGGCGTCACTCCCATTAGGTTTACTGCTAAAGAACCACTCCAGAGCCGCCGCGACTTTCTTTCCCAATCCGAAACAGTCCACTTGTCGGGAATCGCTGAACAACTCTCTCGAGTTGCTTGTGGATAATGTATATGTGAAATTCGTTAGAGTAGTTGTCTCATTAAATAGAGACAGAGTTGTGACGAATGTCGTTTCATTCAGTGCATGTTCAAAAGGCTGAGTTACGTTTGTCAAATGCCATAAGCGAAAACATTCTCCAATGGAAAAATGGTACAAAACGGTGAACGTAAGAATGATTACAAATACCATCGTGATCATCGACTAGCACATTGGCTTTTGATATGTTGTCTTTTAATATACATGTATATATGAAATATTTATCATCCCATTTTGTTAGATAAGCCATGACGACTCGTAATTAATCGAAAAATTTTTAGATAAACAACTATCCTCACTTTTATACAGTTAAAATAACATTGATTAAATAAAGATGAATTGGTTTCTGATAATATATGTCGAAAGTTAGAAACCGATATAATGTTGTAATATTTCTCATTTATTTAGAAAGAGTCAATATTTCTTTTTATTTTAACTGATAAAAAAGTGGAAAAACAATTTTAATTTTTTAATTTGACTCATATTACATAATTAAAATTAGTTATTAATAACATTAATATAGGGTGCTGAGGCAGGGTGCAAATGAGGGAATCATCTGGCTATCAATCAATTCGAGGATAATTCTGGGATAATTCTAGATAAAAATCCTAATTTTCCAGATCAATTAATTTTCATTAGTTGATTAATTTTCATTGATTCGCACATATATTATAATTTGTATTCAAGGTAAAATTTTATATGATGAATTAATTAAACAAATTAAATAAACAAATTTGGAACAATATCTAATACTTTATAAGTAATAAAAGAATATTCAACACAAAAGATGATTTCTCTGCTATATTCGATTTTAGACATTAAATCTAAGTTTTCTATTAGTAACTTGTCTTATTGCATTTTTAAAGAAGGACTTATATCTAAATACTTTTCTTTTTATTAACATATCACAAACATCTTAAGAAATTATTAATTTATTGGCGCTTTATTAAATTATTAGTTTAATTTTTAATATCCGCATTTGCTTTTAAATGTCATCTAAATTGATCATAATACTCATCGTTATCGATATAGTTCTTGCGCAAGCGCAAAAAATATTTCAAATTTCTTTTTTTTTCATGATTCGATTTTTTTTTAATGAAAGAATGACAAAGTTCCAGATAAGTTCCTAAAATGTAGGGATTTTTCAGGAATTTTTCAGAACATTATTAAATTTCAGGATAATTTCAAGGATTTAAGAACATTCAAGGACACTCGGTAGACACTCTGTAACTAAAATTAATAACATAAAATATTTCCAACACGAGTATACGAACGTAATTATTATATGAATTCTATATCTATTTTCATAAAAATGCGTAAAAATTATATTTATACACATGCATGCACATATATAGTACCGATCAAAAGTTTGGATCTATATAAAACGGCTATAATAGTCTTTCTCACTAATTGTAAAAATTTGAACAATTCTAGCAATTTAATGATTGAAGTAGCCTTACTTATGCAATATGATGATCTTTGCTCTTTTTTCACAATTTATTTGAATCCATTCTGAATATCAGAATCATGAATGCGTGAAATTATATTGAAAATTATAATATCGGATTTTCGTAACATTCTCGCAGCCTTATTTTATTTATATTAATCTTTAATATGTTTTGATAAAATATAATTATAATTTTCTTTTACGAAGTATAATTGAAGATCGATATATTTATTATTTTGCAACTCTTACGCGATTCTCCGAATCAGCGCTTTTATACTAATTGGCCAGTATCTTGCAATAAGTTTTTGATTGATGTCTTATCTCTTATTATTTTTACGAGTAATATAGGTTGTAATTTCTATATTTACATTACTCGGGATGCTATCGGGAAAATCATGTAGTGTGTCCAAACTTTTAACCGATACATATATATATATATATATATATATTGGGTTATCCGGAAAGTTCGTGCCGACTAACCTATATAATTTAATAAATATATACTAAAATTTAAATTTTCTGCGTTTCAATTTTCCTTCAACATCGGCACGAATCCAAATAATCCATATAATGTATACATATATTATTAAAAAAAAAAAAAAGAAAAGTGAAGTAATTTAATAAACAATTTGATTTTATAGTTACATTAGTAAATTATATTCAAGTACATCTTTCATATTTTAGAAAATATGGGAAAATTTCTTTAAAATTATTAATATAAAATAAAAAAGTCAATGTTAAATATTAACCTAAACCAGAAACAATATTTTTATATACAATATTTTTATATACTTGTACATACAGCCCTTATTGTTGACAGGATTTATCTTTTTTTCTAAAGATAAAATTTGAAGGAAAATAAAGACAAAAAAATTGCGTTATAATCATATATTAAGTTTTTGCTTCTTCCACTTCTGAAAGTGTTTCTCCTTCTTCTTTTGCTGCCATAAAATTTTAATATAAAATTATTTTTTATATTAATTACTTATGAAAAAAATAAAACAATATTTACTTACTCGAGGTTGCTGAAACTGAGTCCGATTTGCACTACTTTGTGTACTGCCACCTTGGAAACTGCTAAAGTCTACTGATTTGTAATCGAATTTTGTTGATGGTAACAAACCCTGTTTCCTCAACATTTCCTCATTCGCTTTTTTGTCACCTTTTTTCCTAGCTCTGTCACCATCATTAAGAATTCTGTTATTACTACGCATAAATATATATGTTGTATTTTCTTTTTTGAAATGAATGACTTACCTTATCGATTTAATTGTTACAGAATTTCTATTATCACTTTGTACTTGTGCAAGACTCTCTTGCAATTTCTGTTCTTCGATTACTTTCAGTGTTTTTTGTTTTGCTTTCTTGGACACATGTATAGTTTCACTATTTAAATGCGATGTCGATGTAGAAAAATCATTGGCGTCATTCTTTCTTTGACTCTCATTTCCAGTATCAAATTTTCTCTTTCTTTGTCTACGTGTTAGATTGAGAAATATATTATCAGATTTCTTTTTCTTTTTGAGTTGAACCTCCGCTTGTATATTCTTTTGAGACATTTGTTTAAAATGTTCATAAACTCTGTTTTTACTCTCGTTAATCTCAGCCTCGTTTATACATTCGTTCTGACTTTTCAATGTTTTTTCTTCTTTTTCTGTTTCTTCTTTCTTTTGTTGTTCCTTTTCTCGTTCTTTTGCTTCCTGATCCATTACCATTGGTATGACACATCTGTATCTCATAAACGGACTTATGAATATAATCTTTTTTTTATTTCCATTCTTACTATCTTTTGTTTCTTCGTCCTAAAATAAGAAGTATAACTCATTAACATATTTACGCACACACATACACATGCACGTACACATATGCACACATTATATACAAGGTATCCGGAAAATCGCTTGCAATACTTTGGGAAATGATTTGGGATCCAAAAAGAAAGAAAAAATATATAAACATAGGTCCAGAAATAAGTCATTTCCGAGTTATTAATATAACTACTTTTATGTTAAAAAAAGTGTAATTTATTTTTCATAATTGCAATCATAATTTATTTTATAGTATTTTAACATAAATAACTATATTTTGGACTGATATATGCCTCTTTTTTTATTTTTTTATTTTTAATTTTTTTTATTCTACTAAAGAGATACCAAGTGGATTATGCCTCCATATAGTGCATTTCTGGGTATAACGCTAAAATAGTACGAAATATATTTATGTTAAAATAGAATGAAATCAATTATAATTGTAATTATGAAAAATAAATTACAATTTTTTTAACATAAAAAATTGGAAACGACTATTTCCGGATCTATGTTTATATGGCTTTTTTTTCTTCTTTTTCCCAAATCATTTCCCAAAGTATTGCGGGCGATTTTCTGGACACTCTGTACATCGAAAGCATTCTATTTCCTATCTATAATTATCATTTTTGTTATTTCCTATCTATAATTATCTTATAGTTACTATCACTATCATTTTACCTCTGATAAATCTGATGAATCGAATATCGTTATAGTATGCTTGGTGGTCTGACACTTGTTTGCCTCTGATAGTTCTGATCTGACAATATTCTTGTTTAAAAGACATGGCAAATCTGCTCTTGCTTCTGTACCGCTTGGTACATCATGCGGTATGTATAAGGAAGCTCCAGTATCCATATGATTTTGTTGTGTCGGTCTCTGTCGAATGTCCTGTTCAGCAATAGATTTTACAAGCGGTTGTTCCCTAGCCTTCAGTATTATCTTGTGTATTTTCAGTAAGTTTTGTCGTACTAATGGCGGAATCGGATTACAACATGCTAGAATACCCTGCATTTCACGAGGCAGCGTCTCAGCTATATTGAGTAGCATATGGTTTGGTAATATATAACCGATACTATCATCCTCCTGCCTTGCCGTGAGATCTCGCCATCTGTGCAATTCCATAAGCGCATACATCTGTTTATTGTTGAAAGATTTTTGACTCTTTCTGTACATGTTCATACAACTTTCCTCTGTCCAAATTGGTTTCACATACGTACGCTTACAAATTTCAGTGCTTTGATCATACACAGCCTTCAAGATATTGCTTTTACCATTAGCCGCATCAATCAATTCGTTTTTCAGCATGTCTTTTACATAAAGCAAATAATGTGTATCTTCTCTCGCATATTTCATTAGTTCTACTGGTAAAGGCCGTATACGCCAGTCGGCTAATTGAAAATGTTTGTTGGGATCTATCTCACAATATTTGTTTAATAAGTAAGCCAAACTGAGATAGGGTAGGTTGAGCTGTTTTGCAGCTTGATGGGTGTCAAACATGTTCACTACATACAGCGACAAATCCCTTTGGAGCCACAAAATATCCATATCAGCACCATGAAAGACTTTCAAGATTGAAGGTTTTGTAAAAATTTCATTTAGTTGATATAATTCTGATCGTAGGCTCAAAGTATCAATTAAGTAATCGGTTTGTATCGTTGATATTTGCATTAAGCAAGTTATGCCCTGAAACGTTCTATAAGAGTGATGTTCCAAGTCCACAGCTATTTCCTTATGATTTCTCAGATCTTCTAGGAGAATGTTGATATCAGCTGGCTTATCAATGAATACAAAATTAGTATCATCCAATGACTTATATTCAACAGGTATTCTCTTTTTCAGCTGACATTCTGGTGTTTCAAATTTATCTAGTTCAAATTCATAAGGGTGATTAAAGACTTCACCATGTTCGTTTTCTTCGACATGAAGAGCCAATGGCTTCAGGGAGTTTGGTTTATCCTTAATTCGAGGCATCCATGGCTTTGAACTATTATCAATTTTATCCTTAAACATCAACTGTGGTCTTTGT